TAGGGCTCATCAGGGCCTATGGCATAAATCTCGAGGGGTGTACGGGAGTCTCACTCCACCAGCCCTCGCTCCTCTGCGTGATCCAAAATGACGCTGACGGGGTGCGTCAGGGGAGTGCGTGGGTGCTCCAGGAGGACGGGTTGCGCCCATGCCTTCGGATTGTTTTTGTATCCGCCCCCGGGTCTGGCTTGGCCACCTCGGGAGTGATCATTATATTGGGCCTCCCGGTTGGCCGGAGGAGGAGCCCCTCCGGGCCGATTCCTGCCTTCGTTTTTCTGAGAAGGGTCCGCGTTGCGGCGGTCCTTCTCGATTTCCTCTGCTTCGGCATAGCGGTCCCCTCGCTGGAGGGCCTTTGTGTAATCGCGGGGGGGATCAGTGATGAGGCTCCGGGAGAAGTTACCGTTGCGGAGGACGGTGTGGAAGAGAGCCATCAGTGTCCTGTCATCGGCGCCCTCGACCTCAAGGGAGGCTTGCCTCCAGCGCTCCAGGAAACTCCGGAGGGTTTCCTCCTTCTGTTGTCTGACGTTCAGAAGGTGGGAGAAGTGTTTCTTTGAGCGGTGCCTCCCGGCAAACTGTGTAAGGAAGCGGTGGGCAAGTTCTTGCCAAGAATCAATGCTGCCTTCGGGCAACCGGTTGAACCACTCATACGCTGGTCCCTCCAAGGTGGAAAGGAACCAACGGCATAAGTATTCATCCGAGGCCCCCATCATCATCATGCTATTTTGATAGCGGCTATAGTGTTCTTGGGGATCTGTCTTCCCCTCATACGGCTTGATAGGTTGCCCCCGATATTTGTGGGGGATTTTGGCCGCCAGCACCCTTGGGGTGAAAGGCGTCCTAGTGCGGAGCTGAATGAGGGGCTCGCCTGAGCCTTCGGCAAGCTTACGCTTCATTTCCTCCACTTGCGCCCGGAGGTCAGCGTACTCCGGATCTGGTCTCGCTGTGGAAGCCGTCGGGGGCGCCTGACGATTCTCCTCGAGTTGTCGGAGGAGGGCTTCAATGATTTCGTCCTTGGGATCCTTCGGGGCAACCCCTTGGGAGTTGGCCCGGAAGGATTGTGCCTGATTGATTTGGTGCCTGGCGTCATCGACATGGAGGAGGGCTTTGCCTTTGCTTTGGGGGGGAGGCACGCCCTCGGCTCCCGAAGCGGAGGCACCACTCTCCTGGGGCCTGCTGAATTCTTGCTTGCCGAGGCGGTCTTGGACCCCTCGGCGTCCGGGAACTCCCCCCAACCTCTCAAGTACAGAAGTTTGGGGCTTTTCCTTCATCGTGGGGCGCTTATCCCTGGATTGGGCCTCCTGGGAGGCGGTATCCTGCGCAATGACCCCCTCGGCGTTTCCAACCCCCGGGGGAGGATTGTTGAACAGAGGAGGGAGTGGTGGCAATTGAATAACATTTCCTCCAGCGTAGGGCAGAAGGGGTGCCTGAGAGGCGAGGGCTCCGGAGTTGAGAGCCATGTTTTGAACAAAGGCCGCAAAGGCTGCCTGAAGATCGATGGCCGGGGCCGGAGGGGGAACTTGGTTCTCACTCCGATCCCTCCTTCGATTATCAAGGCCAATGAGGGCGTCAGGGGCGTTCTTCTGTAGCTGCTGACGGAGGTCAGCAGTAGCCTGCTCCAATTCGAGGATGATTCCACCCTCGGGTACTAAGAGCCTGTTGGAGGCCTCAGCCCCGTTGGTTTCGCCGGGGGCTACGTGGTTCTCCTCAAGGGTTTTGGATTGGGCACAAGTTGTTCTTCCCATTCTTGGTAGGTGTTTTGAGTTTGGTAGAGGGGGAGGGTTTCTTACTTGATTGTTCTGACCTCTCAACGAGAGCACCAAATGATGGATCGTCTACCCGGGGGGTATCTTATCCGGGGGGTTATTGCGGGAATAACTAGAGAGAAGTCAGAGTAAATAGGAGGAGAGAGAGTCGATTTTATTAAATGAACTCGAGATGTGTAGTTGGTGGATGGATCATTTACAAGGAGAAATGGGCTGCTATTTATAGCAGCAATAAATGCGATGAGAGTACACGTGTCAGTAATCCAACGGCCGAGGGGTCACATCAGCCGGGTGGCACCGGCAGTGGTACGTTCACCGCATTCAATGCGGTTGGCGGATGTGACGTGGCATTAAATGCGGTGGTTGGCTGTCTCCAAAAGGAATCTTCGATGATTGAGCATGTTTGGCCGAAGGCTTCTTGTGTAGCCGAGGGCTCCATGTGACCAAGGACCCCTGTGTAGCCGAAGGCCTTGTGTGACCGAAGGCCTGGTTCAGCCGAAGGCTTCTCTGATGCCGAGGGCTTGATAATGCCGAAGGCTCATGTTTTTCGCCGTTTCCTCCCAGTAGCTTCTTATGCCAGAGAAGGCTATCCTGTGAGTTTTGGAGCCTTCGGGCATAGAGTCCGAAGGCATCCCAGTGTGTATTCTGGGCTACTTTGAGGCTTGGGCCGTCGCATTTGGGCCTGAGTTGTTCTCTGGGCTCAATGGACTTGTGTAGGAGAAGTAGGAGTCTATGGGCCGGGGGTTCCTGGGCCATATACTCCATCAACGTGAATCTGTTAAACAAAGCATGTTTCTGGCATGGATGAAGGCCAATGATCAGTATGCGGAGGCAAAAAATTTAACTTATGCCGAATTCCCTCAGAAGTTTGTTTGGAAGCAAAAAACAAGGGAATTTGTTCCTCGGCAGAGGGGTTTTGCTTTGGGTCGAGTGGCATATGTACCTCCAGGATCAGGAGAATCTTATTATTTGCGATGTATCCTCAATTTAAAGCGTGGTGCTACGTCTTTCGCCGACTTACGAACTGTTGACGAGGTTTGTTATGAAACATATCGTGAAACGTGTTACGCATTGGGTTTGTTGGACGATGATCGAGAGTACGTCGAAGGTTTTACGGAAAGCAATTTTTGGGCTTCTGCTTGGGGACTTAGAGTTCTATTTGTAATATTGCTACTGGCAGATACAATGAGTAGACCTGAATACGTTTGGGAGAAATGTTGGAATTTTATGTCTGATGACATTCTTCATAGACAACGACGAGCTTTGCTACATCCAGGTTATTAAAACTTACAATTTATTTATTTTTAACTATATTATTGTTTTTAATAAGGTAAATAGAATTGTTGTGGAATTAAATGTTCATATTGTTTATTGTAGAGTTAACGTTGACAGAAGAAGAAATCAAGAATTATGCATTGGTTGAAATAGAGACAATGTTAAGGACTCGCGGAAAAAGCCTAAGGGACTACCCATCAATGCCATTCCCTAATTGCAGTAACGCAACCATGTTTCAGAATAGACTTATTTATGATGAGTTGCAATATGATCACGCCGAAATGCGGGAACAACATGACAAATGCATGGAGAGTTTGAATGAGCAGCAAAGTGAGGTGTACAAGATTATTATGGAATCCATTGAAGGAAACAATGGTGGAGTGTTCTTTGTATATGGGTACGGGGGTACAAACAAAACGTTTATTTGGAAAACGTTGTCAGCGGCTCTAAGGTCAAAAGGTGAAATTGTTTTAAACGTGGCTTCAAGTGGAATTGCTTCATTGTTATTGCCTGGTGGAAGAACTGCTCACTCACGTTTTGCGATACCAATCAACCCAACTGAGCATTCCACATGCAACATCAAGCAGGGCAGCCCATTAGCCCAATTGATTATTAGGTCTAAACTTATTATTTGGGATGAGGCACCGATAATGCATAAATATTGTTTTGAAGCTTTGGACAGAAGTTTCCGTGACATTCTAAGGGTTGTTGATCCTCTGAACACTGATAAGCCATTTGGAGGGAAGACTATAGTCTTTGGAGGAGACTTCAGACAAATCTTACCGGTGATTACCAAAGGTACAAGACAAGACATAGTTAATGCCACAATTAATTCTTCATACATATGGCAAGACTGCATTGTTTTACGCTTAACGAAGAACATGAGACTGCAATCGTTGAGTGGCGATCGTGATTATGCTGACTTGGTTGACTTTGCTGAGTGGATAGCGAGTTTGGGAGATGGAACAACAGGTGGTCAAAATGATGGCTGTGCTGATATCAACATACCAAGTGACATTTTGCTACAAACTGATGAAGACCCTATTGCCACAATCGTGCGCAGTACATATCCTGATTTTGAGGCTATGCCGACTGACCCCTCATTCCTAAAAGAGCGTGCTATTTTGGCCCCAACGCTTGATGTTGTCGACTCAATTAATGAGTACATGACTGCATTGAATGTCACAGAGGAGTCCAGGACATATTTGAGTTCTGATAGCATTTGCAAATCGGACTCAAATTCTGATTTTTTGGCTGATTTGCATACACCGGAATTCTTGAATAAGATACGTGCATCCGGTGTTCCAAATCATGAGTTGACTCTCAAGGTTGGTACTCCGGTCATGCTTCTTAGGAACATTGATCATTCAATGGGCTTATGCAATGGGACGAGGTTGATTATTACAAGGCTGGGAAATCATGTTCTTGGAGCTACAATTTTAGGAGGTAAATTTGATGGTCAAGAAGTAGTCATACCGAGATTGACACTAACACCATCTGATGCAAGAATACCATTCAAGTTCCAAAGAAGTTTCCCATCATGACCTCTTATGCGATGACAATAAATAAGAGTCAAGGTCAATCTCTAACGCATGTTGGACTTTTACTGAAAAAACCAGTCTTCACTCACGGTCAACTTTATGTTGCAGCGTCCAGAGTTACAAATCGCAAAGGCTTGAAAATATTGATTTGTGACGAGGATGGCAAACAGATCGACCATACTACAAATGTTGTTTACAAAGAGGTCTTTCAGAATTTGTAGTATCACTTCATGTTGCAGCTTCTACAGTTTTACTAACAACTTCGTACTTTGAAGTGTTATATCTGTTTTTTATTGGCCCATCTTTGTCGTTGTCTCAATCTCTCTTTATATACGAACATTTAATATGTTACTGTTTTATTTTGTTTTCAACCATTTTTGCTTTTTAATAATAAACTTAATTGGTAAATATAAAGGGTGAGAATCTAGTTGAACACAACACTCTGTGAATCCCTGTCCTAAGGACTCCGGCGCCTCAAATCTACTTGGGTTGGGCTCTTAGTTTGGTTGGGGATGAAATTATTTTGATTGGATTTTCGTTTTTCTGTTTGGCTAGGATGCCGATTCCTGAGTAACGCCTCAAATCTGAATCCTCCGTAGTCCATATCCACACTACTACGATAAGATAGAGGAGACTACAGAAGACTCGGCGACGCTGGAATACCAAATCAGAGTCCGAAGTGGAAACAATGGCGGAGGAAACACTCACAGCTCTTAGATCATTGATGGCTTCCCACTCGCCTCCTCTCCACGCCTTGGTTGTTCCTTCTCAAGACAATCATCAGGTTACTCAACTCATCCCTTATCGATACAAATAAACATACTCTATCGCGGAACTTTTTGTAAAGTTTATTTTTCTCCCTGGGAAAGTTTTTCTCTTCCTGAAAGTTTGTACACTTATCTGGCAATTGACTTGTACCCTTTTCATTTTCGTTACGCAGAGCGAGTATGTATCGGCCAGGGACAAAAGGCGTGAGTTTGTCTCTGGATTCACAGGAAGCGCTGGTTAGTTTTTTGGCTTGTTCAAATGCTTCACACTGATTTTCACCTTCTTCTGAGGTTGCATTAATCCTTAACCTTGCGTACTGAGCAGAAACTTAATTTTGGTGATGCTTTTGAAGGATATATTCCACTCCTCAGCTGCTTTTAAATATTTGTATACAACCTAAATGAGATTGAAGCCCTCCTACTCTTACGCATTTTTCTATAGTTGATTGGTTCTGATGTTTGTTGGAATTTCTGAGGTATATTCATATATCATTTAATAAGTATAGGTATAAATGTGAAGCCCAACCTATAGTGTTTGACCCATAATATAATCTTAACTTTTCTTTTGGTTAGAGTTTTTTCCAAAATTATTGGACTGCCACAACTTTCTAAGTACTTACAGGGTTGGTGCTTATAACAATGGATGAAGCACTTCTATGGACGGATGGAAGGTATTTTTTGCAGGCAGTGCAGCAGCTTAGTGATCAATGGAAGCTCATGCGAATGGGAGAAGACCCTAATGTTGATATGTGGATGGCAAACGTCGGTTATCTTTTACTGCATTCCAAATTAGTTCAATTGTTCATAGAAGTGCTGAATACTTATTGCACGTGGCACAAATATACATGTTTGATCAACATTGTTCTAATAAAAATTTGTCTTAAATTTACTCTAGGTTGAAATGACTGAAACAGAGAGAAAATTTATTATTGTTACCCATCATTTAAATATTACTGTTATTTTCCTAGTTTATTTTTATGAAGGATAACATGTTCGGAGGCATGCTTTGGTGTGTGTGTGTGTCAGTGTGTATACCCTCTTTTCCTTGAAACTTTGCCAACTTTCCTTTTTTGTTTGTCCCACTAACTTCGCCACATCCTTTTTAAGTAAAGAGTTTGTGGTACCAATTAATCCTCTCTCCTCTGTACAAACCTCAACTACACAATTTTTACTTTATTAATCCCCGTGCGGGTCAAACTTGGTCAAGTTTTAAGAGACAGAGGGAGTATATATTTATCTGGAAAAACATCTATTTTGATCAAAGTGACATTTTCATGTAACTTAAGCAAAAATCATCATAAATCTGTCACAAACAAACAATTTTAAAATTGAAAACACGATTCATTATTTATGATATATGGCTTTTGTACCTTACCAAAATTAAAAAGTGTACATTGGTAAAACAATGCACTTCTGGGACAGAGGTAACAGTTTTAAAAAATACTTGGGTAATTCACCCCATTCAGTCACTTTATTTACACATGTATCACCTATTCACATGGAGTTCATTCAGCTATGATCTACTTCACCGGTGTCTTGTGCATATGTCTAATTGTCTATCTCCGACACCCGCTTACCTAAAATTTTCATGTAATTCCTTTTCAAGGTGTAATGCATACATCTTATACGTGTAGCATTTTGAGGTGTATGCATTTGGTGGCTTATTGTTGTCCATTTTAATAGATGCTTTGATGTCTACTCAGAATTTACCCAAGGAGGCAGCCATAGGAGTCGACACATGGTGCATATCAGTAGAAACTGCCCATAAGTGGGAATGTGCCTTTGCAAAGAAACAACAAAAATTGATTCAGACAACGAAAAACTTGGTGGATGAAGTTTGGAAAAGTCGGCCTCCTGCTGAAGTAAATCCTATAATGGTGCATCCATTAGAATTTTCTGGGAGCTCTGTATCAGATAAGTTGAAGGATTTAAGGAGAAAGCTCGTACAGGAGAAAGCTCGTGCTATCATAATCACAGGGCTGGATGAAGTAAATCTGTATCCCATGAATCTAAATTCTCTTATCATGCAAAAGTTACAGATTTGTATGTTTCACTAATTCTTCATAACTTTCGTGCAGGTTGCATGGCTATATAATATTCGTGGAACTGATGTTTCATATTCCCCGGTTGTTCATGCATTTGCTGCAGTAACATTAGTCTCAACCTTCCTTTACGTTGACAGAAGAAAATTAACTTCTGAGGTTTATGAGCTGCATAATCTTATAATTTTTATGTATATCATGTTTTCTTCGACATTTGATTCCGAACATTCTATTGCATTTGGGTTCTTTAGTTTTCTTCAAAAGTATGTCGCATTGCAATGCAGGTGAGCTCTTATATGTTGGAAAATGGGATTGAGGTACGGGAATATGGTGAAGTTGGGGAAGGCATAAGTCTACTGGCTTCTGATAAGCTCATTCATTCCTCCACTTTATCAAGTGAAGGGACTAAGACAAATGAATCTTCTGATAAGGGAAATGAATACATATGGGTTGACCCTGGCCAATGTTGTTTTGCTTTGTACTCCAAACTAAGTGCTGAAAAAGTTCTTCTACAACAATCACCTATAGCCCTAGCCAAAGCTCTCAAGGTAGTTATATATTTTATAATGCAGATTCAAATCCAATAGGACTCAACTTGCATTAAACGTGTAATTTGCTATTATGATTTAAAACCCAAAGTATTACGCTTCATTGCTTTTGAAAAATGCAGATTGGCATATAATTAGCATTACTCACATGCAATCAGTTTATGTGATTCATATCTACTACAACCTGCTGCCTGGGATCTCTCACTCTCACTTGCTTGCTTATTTGTTTATTTGTTCGTGTGTGTTTGTGTGTTCGTGTTTCGGGCGTGGTTGGGAGATAAAAAAGAAGAACGATAAGTATGATGGTTGGAAAAACAACCCAGCTTCCCGCCCTAGGCAAGGAAATGTCCGTCGGTTGCACCGAGCGCACAAGAAGAATTAATCTCCATAAGATTGATGATTTTATTCATTAATATGGCACCCCTATTTATACTAGTCCGAAGAGTCTTGGTGGTCTACTGGTCTAGTATTAGAGTAATCCTAATTCTATTACAATACTTTTATTAGGAAATTAACTAAAATAGAATATCTCTACTAATAGGAAACTGGAACTAATATTAACCTTAGGAAACTAGCACCTAATACTTTAGGAAACTAATAATAACCTTAGGAAACTAACACCCAATACTTTAGGAAACTTACTTTAGGAAACTAATAATAATAATAATGATAGTAATAATAAGCTTCTTCTTTCCATAACAGTTCGTTCGTGCGTTCGTGTGTATTTATCTATTTGTTTATTTGTTCGTCTGTCCGTCTGTTTACTTGTTTATTTATTAGTCTATCTTGATATTTCCTTTTTGCATTTTTGCACACCTAACAACTCTCCTTCTCCAAGCTTCTATACAACTATGCTCCAATTTGATTTGATTATTATAAGCCATCATCACCATCTACATTTTTTTTATTCTTTATGCTTGTTAAGACCCGGGGTTCCATCCTAAAAGGTCAACCTGATAGGAGGACTAGCTTAAAACCTTATATAGTGTTTTATTGTTTTATAACTTTCCGGTGTGGGATAAATACTTTTAACACGCCCCCTCAGCTCAGCTCGAACCGGGCTGGACAATATCGGGGTGTATAAATGGGCCAAACAGACCCTTAACAAGCTACCCGTAATCATGGGTGCTAAACAAGCCGTCAAACCCCAACCGGAATTGGCTCTGATACCATGTTAAGACCCGGGGTTCCATCCTAAAAGATCATCCTAATAAAAGGAGTAGCCCAAAAGCTTATATATTGTTTCATTGTTTTATAGCTTTCCGGTGTGGGATAAATACTTTTAACAATGCTTGAAACGATTGAGATTCTAGAACATGAAGTGACATCATATATTCATACGATTGTTGTATCTATAATTTATAGCATGAGGTTTATGATGATTAAGGGCAACTAAAGGCTTTTTCTATTCTGTTCATTTGAAAAATGTAATCTCATTTGAAAATATAGGATACCATTTGGTCTACACTTTTCTATCTAATATGATTTGGTGTGAATGTTTCTAATCTTGTCTGGTTTGACTTAAATATAACCTCTAAGATCTTTAACATATATTCTCTCTCCCCAAAATGATAGCCACAATCCAGATTTTGTTGTTTGATTTTCATTCATTCATTCAGCATTCATCATCATTACCCCAGTGCCGCAAAGGCTCCCTCCTACAGTGGGGTGAGGGGGGGGGGGGTCGGATGTATGCAGTCTTACCCTTGCACTAAAGCACACATACACTATATCCGAATTGTTGTTTGATTAGTATATAAATTAATTTCTCCCTTTCAAAATCGTAATCTGATTCAAAAATATAAAATTTATATATCTAGAAACCAAATAAAGTTCGGCTGAATTGCTAAAATTAAATTTGAAAATGATAAAAGTTTGATACATAGTATTCGAGAATAAAAGTAAAGTGTGTTGACTAGTGAATAGAAACCGGTACTATCATTTTGGGATAGATGTAGTATATAACACAGTGTGCTTTATAACCTGATTGGATAAGAATAAGTAATGCACAAAAACAATAAGGTGAACAGAACAACACCTAGGTCCAACGATGTGAAGAGGAATAACATTCTCTAGTGTTGAGAGAATTACACGTAAATTTATCAGTTCACATGTTTATTCAATGATGTGATTTAGGCTATTTTTGGCACAATGAGCTGAAGCTGGAGACTAATATCTGAATTGGAGGCTATTGTCTGAATTAGAGACTATTGTCTACAATTGAAACATAAAGTGTTGAATGTGAAATACTAGCTGAATAAAGTAGACCTGTTTGGCGAAAGTAGCTGGAATTGTGATCGGATAAATTAAAATTACATTAAAGGACATATAATATATAAAGTGAAAATATTTATTATCATATTACGATATTTGTATATTTATTAGAATAGTACTAATATTTTATATAGTTTATAAATTTTGGTATATTACGATTGTAGTATTTTAAACAAATCCCATTTGTATTCATTTAATAATGATGGGTTTCTGAAAAGAATGATGAAGGGTTTGAATAGAGAATAGGGGCATAACATGGCAGCAAGAATGAGATTAATGTCTGAGGAATTCAAATTGGTGAAGGCATGGGCCTCAGAGTTAATAAAGCTTGAGGAAGATAATTAACTCCCTTAGAACTCCCTTGTTAGTGATGCCTCTGTAGTGTAGTCTGTTGTACCCAAAGTCCCTCGCCGCGCTGCCTATGGAGAATTTCTGGAGGACAAAAACAAATATAAACAATTTTGGGTGATAAGGTAGAAGTGTAGAACGATGATTTGTGCAGGGATAAGTATAATTTCTGCATTGAAGGGTTTTGAGCTGTAGGCTGAATAGAAATGCTAGCCTCCATAACGTTTGTAATTAGATCATTATTTTTAGCTTTAGCTTGGTTCAGCCTTTTATCCAAACAGGGCTATTTACATAATTAACGACTGAAATTAAGAAATTTCAGCCCTTTACGAGCTGAATGTCCATGCCAAACATAGCCTTAATGATTGCACTTTATGTGAAGTTTTACTAGTTTTTGAACATCTAGTCTACTATCCCCAGAATCCTATTGAGATGGATGGATTGAAGAAAGCACATATTCGAGATGGAGCAGCTGTTGTTCAATATCTTGTCTGGCTGGATAAACAGGTATTTGCCTTGTTCATATTTTGTTTATCATGATTCAGGACTAAACTATGTTATTTTACAGATGCAAGAGATTTATGGAGCATCTGGATACTTCGTTGCAGCTGAGACCTGTCGGAAGAAACAGCTGTATGTTATATTTGTGCTCTTTTACTCTATGTCTAGACTCAGCACAATGGTCAGAAGCATCTCATTGTTAAGGAAAAGTAGCGCTGTTAAAATGTTTCAAGGCCATAAGTCATGATTTGGTTTAACAGTTGCCAGAGCCCTTAAGCTATATCATTTTGTTCATTCTAGTGCCTCTTATAGCAGCTTTAAAAAATCTCCGTTGTTTGGGACTTTGGGTTACAATAGATCAAATAGTGTTCTTGTCCGGCCCCTGCATTATAGCCAGCCAACCAACATTTATTTTGTGTCACATATTTGTCAATCTCTCTTTCCATCATTTGCAATGGAGCCAAAGACTCACTATTTTTTTGGTTTCGGAATATGATGGAATAAAGTAAAATGATTCACTAAACTGTCTGCGCTTCTTTATTTTGAAGCAGCCGTCGGTTCATGCAATTTTTGACGCAATTTTCACTATGGGGTCATCCGGAAACAGACTGCGTACATTTGACCCCCCTTACCCCACCGCAGGTGGGAGCCTTTGCGGCACTGGGGTAATGATGATGATGATATTTGTCAATCTCTATTTATCTTTTAATAGGACCTACAAGTTGAAATAATTGTTTACTGATATATTTTTCTATCCATTCTCACCTTGCTCCATTTTTATTTGCTATGGCGGTCCATTGGTTCTGGTTTTGATCTTCGATTCAAATCTTATTATACTCGCATTTTAACTTTTGTCTTTTGTAACTCAACATTTAGTTCATGCTTAGATCCCTCAAGTAGTCCTCGTAGCCTCTAGGTATAGCATCTCGGATAGTCCTGGATAATCCATCAATAGCGGTTCTTAACATGAGTGGACTGTTTGCCAATCCTTGATGTAAGTCAATCGTAAGGCAAATCATTTGTCACCCCCATAAGTTGTTACATTTTTTTCGTTTCTAATAATCTTTTTTATTAGTTGTTTTCGGCACCATGCTTTATCATAGCCCATCAAAGTACTTCCCTTGGTACTTTTTTACAAGCTTCTCCACATCCGTAAAAACATTTTAGAGCTTTATGGGTAAACCAAAAGGCCTAGAGTTGTTTTAAGAGATGAATTGCCTTTGTTTCCTATTGCCCGAGCACAAACACAAAATAGTCTCAATGATGTATGAATGAATTTCCTTAATCCTTGTTGTGTGTGTGTGTGTGTGTGTGTATATATATATATATATATATATATATATATATATATATATATATATTTTACTCCAGGGGGGTCTGGGGTAGGGGGCTGGGGGGCCTGGAGTAATCAGGGCTGAAACTCACTCCATTGAGTTTCAAACTCTTATGTGCCTAGCGGGTTTCAAACTCGAGACCTCCTACTAGGCACGGTAACCTCACAACCAGCTGGGCTGGAATGCTTGGTTTCCTTGTTGTATATAATACATTTATTACTCTCCTATAAATTCATAGTATCACTTATAGGCTTAACCCTATAGTTTGCAGAATCTTGTATCTTCACTTGTTAAATAAGTTGATGTACAAGTTTTTTCTCAAATTGCAGTAATATCAGAAAAGATGTATTCTGATTAATGTTATTAATTTCTATCAGAAATGAACATTTTCTCACTCATGCTTCTGATTCATATTCTAAATAATTTCAGGTCTAATTTTAAACTAACAGAAGTGTCTGCGAGTGATAAGCTAGAGGAATTCCGTACCTCAAAAGAGGTAATAGCCCTTTATCAAACACCTGCTTTTCTTTACAACATGGAGTTATGGCCTTTTTTAGCTTAATACTTTGACGTGGAGACAATTCATTAGTTTTTGCTGCTAAATCTTATAGAGTAATATCATATTCATAATGCTCATGCATATTGTTAATGTGTAGACGTATTATTATTTTCAGTTTTAGTACTAATATACTTACCTATTCATATTAGGTTAAGGTTTCTGAATTGTACATGTTCAGGTCGATTGTTTCTCTATATATGCATTGAAATAGTATCTATAAGTTACCACATGCATAAGCTCAAAGTAATCATATCAATAAAAGTATTGGTTTATATTACTTTATTGTTCACCTTGTTATCAAAGCTTGGTTTCTAAAATAACTCTGTTGCCTCTTTAGTTATTAAGCATTTGCGGTTATTGTATCACATTGGTACAGAGCTAGAGCTAGTTTAATACATTTTCATTCACATTGGCCTGGCAAACTTCCGATCCATGAAATTTTACAGAATGATTCTCTTCCGTCCAACAACTGTTGAGCAATTTTTTTCGAAGTTTCGTCTGGTTTTAGCCAGCTCTTGCATATACTATGTTCAATTTCAATGTGCCAATATCATGTTTCTTGCAACCCAATTGTTTTCTAAATTGTCAAGCAATGAGGTTCAGTGAAAGAAGACGACAAAGGAAGCAAGGGAGAAGAAGTAGATAAAGGGGAAAAATAGTTGGTATTGTATTCAGCCAAAGTTAAGTTAAAGTGAAAGCTTGGATGCTCATGGTGTGGTTCAAACCTTTATGTTAAACCAATGTTTGAAATTGCGCAATAGAATCAGGCGCGCTTCGTTGATTTCTAGGCCTGTTGCGATTAAAGGCGAAACTTATTTTATGCCATAAGAAAGCCTACGCCTTTTAGTCTGAGGCGTACGATATAAGGCGTGCGATACAAATTCCAAGAAGGCTTACGCAATAATAACTTTGCGGATTACATAAAAAAGATGGGCCCAGACGTATTCCAAACCTAATTAATTAATTTAACACTCAGCAAAATACTTATCTTTTCTTCTGATTAGCATGTGGCAGTCCACCTCTCCCTCCCTGTTCTCCCTCTGTTGATTATTAATTTTTTTCACCATCTCTTTTATGAGCTTTGCGCCTGTCCATCTATCCTCATCGCTCTGAGTTGTTCTTATTTACGTGCGCCTGTCCCTTGGCGTGCGTCGACAAGCTTAAGTTAGGAGAAGAGATTATATACAAAGTATAAAACTTTGGGTGGATTCTGAAGTATCCTTCTAGACTTCTGATACGCCGCAGGTATAAGATTATTCAATATCCTTTTGGTGTCTCTTGAGAGGATTAATAGATTATTTTGAGTATCCGTATGTATTACTTTGAGTGGATTCCAGCTAGAATTTTTAATTATTTATATTTAGTGGAGTTTTACTTTTCATATAACTTGAATTTCTGTTTCAAGTATAATTGTATGTATAATTTAATTTGGATAATATTAATATATTGAATAATGTTTAAATATCACCATTACCGATTCCCTCTTGCATTCATCAATTAAAAAAAACTTGGAATTTTATAATAAACAATTTGTATGATGTCATTTTCAAATCACGATTTCCATTATTTTATGACATTATTGTTAGATCTGTAACTAAATGTGTTATTTTGATTGAATTTTTAATTCTTATTAATTATAAATTTTTATATAATTTTATTTGCTATGCATTACGCCTCATTGCGCAATGAGGCTTAAACAATACGCCTTGGGGAAAAATGCCTCAACTCCGCAATGCGCAACTTCGAACATTGCTTAAACTTTTGATACTCAAGTCAGCAGCAGTTCAGTTCAAGTGGATTTTTTTTCCAAAGGTTCAGTAGAAGTATGAAGTGAAGTTCAAGTTTCTTTGGAAGTTTAAACTTTGGATAGCATGCTTAGAGCTTATAATGCTTTAGGTTGAGAGGTAGTTTTAGAGCTTAGGTATAGCAATATAGTTTTGGTGTCTTAGACTCTTAAAAGATGTGTGACTTTGACGGCTCTCCTTTTAAAAGATGGTTTTCTAGTATACAAAGATTAACACAAGCAGGGATGTAGTGAACAAATAAGAGTGTTCTTGGGATCTCTATAATACCCAAAGCTCTCTTTCTCTGCCTCTATATGTTAAGAACCCACATCACATGCATATTCATGATAAATTCTTAATTATCTTATGCATACAAGATAGTTCTCTCAAAAGAGCACCTCTGTGTATCAACTTTGTAAAAAACCCAAGCTTATTGCTTTATTTTTCATTTTTGTATCTCATAAGTTAATATGTAATCCTGTTGCGTTGGTGAGGGGGTGGTAAAAAAAATTGGGATAGTAATTACATGCCTAAAATAAACTATCCTGCATAGTTTATTAGGTTACATGGAATCTTCATGGTTTTTGTAACCCTTGCATTATTCAGTTGTTTTTTAACAATCACAAGCCTTCTGAATTATATCCTCTCAATTTTCAGATGAAGTTTTTATTTTTATACATTCACAGATTTTTTTCCCTTTTACCCCTTCAGCATTTTAGAGGCTTGAGCTTTCCCACTATTTCATCTGTTGGTTCGAATGCGGCTATTATCCATTATTCACCTGCACTGGAGACATGTGCGGAACTTGATCCAGATTGTATATACCTCTTTGATTCTGGAGCCCAGGTTTCTTGCCTGTCCTTTCTTATTTAGGTTTTATGTCATCATGGACTCATGGTTATGCATACAGCCTATGACAGTTCGCTGCTCTTTATTCTGGGTTATCTTTGTCTAACTTATAAATTGTCTTGCATTTATTGTCTTCTGTTGCTGAAGTATCTGGACGGAACAACTGATATAACCCGGACTGTACACTTTGGGAGACCCACACCACATGAGAAAGCATGCTATACTGCGGTATTGCTTTATTTTGATCCAAAACTACTTTTATTTGTGTACAAGTTGAACTCAAGCTATAACTACTTCCATTGATCCATAAAGTGTGTAAAGGAATTTGAACATCTTATGGAGTTAGAGGACTGTTATAATAAGTCTCTTTGCTAAATTGCTCGGTCATTTTGACGTGGCCTACAATTTTACTGGTACTGTCGTAGTATCGTGTGTACCATACCGTACTATGCAAATATTGTTTTATCTCAAATATGCCAGGATATCCCTTGATTACTAATTAAATTATAGGCAGTTAAAGGTCCAGTTCCTGCGACTTGATTTATGTATGGATTGTCTAATCACTGTGTGGTGAAAGTCGTTGAAGGACAATTACCTGTCATATTTACTATACCCTGGCAGAAGGATTTTTTTAAATCTATAATCAATTATTCTTAAATACTCCGTATAATATTTCTTGTCGTGCTTTATTGATATTAATTGAACATATTCTTCTGTGATCAAAATTGCATAACTTGACATGCATAGAAGCTAGTGTTTCTTCTGCTTTAACTAGTATTGATTGATGGCTCATTTATTTTTTAAACATTTAACTTTAAGTAGGTTCTCAAAGGGCATATTGCATTGGGAGATGCTTGCTTTCCAAATGGGACCAATGGTATGAAATAGTATGTTTTATGAAGTATGAGATGGTAATTGATTGGCCAAACTTTTGGTGCATGAATTGTACTTGCATGTCAAGAATAAGTATGTCCTTTGAATGATATGCCAAACAACTACTTTACAGGGAATACACTTGACGTTCTTGCTAGAACTCCTTTGTGGAAATATGGTCTTGACTACAGACATGGTACTGGTCATGGCATTGGATCTTACTTGAATGTACATGAAGGTATGTCATTCTGCGGTGCACATCAATGAAGTCATAAGATGCCAGCTCTTATATCATTGCTATATTACCGCATATGGCAGGGCCTCATCAAATCAGTTTTAGACCAGCAGCAACAAACGTGCCATTGCAAGCATCAATGACAGTTACAGATGGTTAGTGGTCTTTTTGCCACTATCTTGATTTGGACTTGCATTTATTGATTAGTATGTAAATTCTTCCATGCCTCCTGAGTCCTGACTTAGCTTAAGGAGTTACCCATATGTTTCCAGTCTTCTTTTTCCATACCCATTGGTCTTTTGATCATGTGAATACTACTATAGTAAAGACAGGGGCATACCTTCGGCGAGATTTTTCAGCAACTAAATAATCATAACTCTGCCCCCCAAAAGAGTATTGTTCCAAAAAATCCATTTTTTGTCCCAAAAATTTCACGTTTCTACAACTTAATTTTTTACATTGAAGGTGTTATGCGAGCAGTATCCAAAGAGACTTGATTCTCGAACTTAAAATTTTAATTTAGTTCATCCAACAAATAAAGTTTTAAAAATCTGAATAAGAGTTGTACATTACAAGACTTTTATTAAAAATATAAATATTTAACGCAATTATTCTTCTCGGTCTTGTTATTTGTCAGTCCTGGTGTTCTTGACTTCTTTCATACTTACAGAGTATTAAATTCTGATACTTTTCCAGAACCTGGTTATTATGAGGATGGAAATTTTGGGGTGAGGTTGGAGAATGTTCTTATTATCAAGGAGGCTGATACTAAATTCAACTTTGGGAACAAGGGCTACTTATCTTTTGAGCATATAACCTGGGTAAGCTGTATTGTTGTCTTTGTACACAAAACATTAACATTTAAATGCATGTGGATGTTTGTCTGATCTGGAATTTTTTCTAGCACATCATAATTCAAAATGGTTAGTTTTGGGATTTCATTTCTTGACCACATTAAACAGTTCTCCATCCTGTATTACTTCGAACTAAACTTTCATTTTTAGTTTGTGGTAATAAGAATGGAAAATTTTAAAGTTTCTTGAGTGACAGTGTGCTAAAAAATATAAAAATGCAATTTTTTTCGTTTTAATGTGATCAATAATGGTCTATTTTACAGGCGCCATATCAGAGGAAACTGATAGATGTGAGCCTTCTGGTACCTAAAGAGGTTGAGTGGTTGAACGGCTACCATTCTAAATGCAAGGAAATCCTGGCTCCATATATGAATGAATCTGAGATGGCATGGCTGAGCAAAGCCACTGAACCTATTGTTGCTTAAATTGCTACTCCATTTTAAACATTTGATGGTCGTTTGGAATTAGTTATAGACAAAACATCTTTTTATTGATATTTTTTTATACCATTCTTGAAGGTGGGATGAACGAATAATACATGGGTGTTATTAAAATAAGCAAAAAGTAGTACATTTGGCAATAAAGTTATTTCCATTTTTAATTAATGTGTATGATACGGTTTGTCCTTCTCTGCCTCTGATCCATTACAGCAATGATGATTCTGTGCTTATTTAATGAAATAGCAAGGAAAACCAAATTTTAGCTGGTTTAGAATAACAGCATGTTAATGTATAACATGTGAAGGCTGAGTGAAGCCGCTTGAGTTATTCCACTTGAAAAAATAAATGGGGTGAGTTATTCTCCTCTAGTGCTCAGTTCCTATTTAGTTAACGTGATTTTCACCCGTGCGTTGCGTTGCACAAGATGAAGGTTAATAAATATTGATTAACTTCATATATTAATAACTAGTATTAAACCCGCTCGGGTCCGGGTCAGGCCTAGGCCTGGGGGGTCCGGGCTCGGGTCTTACATTTGGCGAAGGCCCGGGTCCGGGCCAAATTGATTTTTTTTCCCCCATTTTTTGGGGTTTCACTCGGGTTGTGCTTGATGGTTAGGAGGGGTTTGGGGGGTGAGGGGGGGAGGGGTTAGGAAAGCAAAAAAAAAACCAAACCGGAGGCCTGGCCCGGACCCGGTGGCTACCTGGGCCGGTCCCGGGTCCACCAATTCTGAACTGCCGGCCCGCCCGGGCCTCGCGGACCCGGCCCGGCCCGAATCCAGGACTAATAATACATGAAATGAGGGTGTTTTTTTGAAAAACTTCTGAATTTACAATATTAATCTTCAAACTACTGAAGCCCGTACAACTAGTGGTGGACTCGGTTCGGGCCGGGCCCGGTTCGGGCCTTGAACCGGCCGGGCCTCGGTTCAAGGTAGGGGAGGCCCGGAACCGGCCCGGGTAACCCCAGGTCCGGTTCGGGTCGGGCCGGGCCCGGTTCGCTTCTATATATATATATATATATATTTTTTGGGTTTTCCTAATCAACCCCCTACCCTCCCCCTCAACCCCATACCACCCCAAACCACCTCAAATGGCCCAAAATACCCAATCCAACCCAAAAACTTAAAAAAATTCAAAAAAAAAAAAATTAAATCCGGCCCGGACCGGTCCCAAACTGGCCGGGCCGGTTCACCAAAATGAAGGCCCGAGCCCGGAACCGGTAGCCACCGGGCCGGGTCGACCCGAACTGCCCATGGGCCGGGCCGCCGGGCCGGGTCAAATAGTGACCGGGCCGGGCCGGTTCCGGTTCGGGCCGCCCGGCCCGAGTCCACCCCTACGTACAACCTTTGTTACTCCCTCCGTCTCATTTAAAGGTTCTCACTTTTCTTTTTTGGACGTCCCACTTAAAGGTTGGGGTTTTGCCTTGAATATTACTAATAAATGGGCAATTGACAAAAAAGTGACCTTTTTTAAAAATTCCAGAAATGTGACCTACAAGTGACAAGCTTACTTATATACCTACTGCTACAGTGACACGTTACAGTGACACGTTACAGTGACACGAGAAACAGTGACATCCACCACCCCTTCCCACCACCTCCCACCGGTGTCCGCCGCCGCTGGCCATAGTGACAACGACCATAGTGACACCGTCACTGCCTAGTGACACCGATTTTCAGTTATGACACCCGCCAAAAGTTACTCTGGCTGCAACCACCACTCTGTCACTATGATCGTCAGAAAATTTCCCGACTCTTTATCCGGCGCCACACCGCCAACAACAACTACTACAACAGCCCCAGCCCCTCGCCTGCTCCACCGGCTCCTCTATGCCTCAAGCCCCACCCCCATCCCCTCCATGCCCCCCACCAGCCAGTGACTGCCGCCCGCTTTCCCTAGTAACTGTCGCCCCATTCCCCAGCTGACCAGGCGGCCACCGTACAACAATCCAAGCCCCAGCCCCAGTCCACCACACCCCTGCCCCACCACACCCACCCCAGCCTTGCACAATCGATGCACTAGACTTTACTCCCACCTCGCCAATGAACCACCTCCGCCCCGCCGCGACCACTCCAGTCGGCCACCGCACCCCCAGCCCCCCCCCCCCGCCCTACACAATCGCCGTCGGGAACTTCAACACAGATCTGGAAGACTGGAACCCTGGCCGAGATGACAGATCTGGCAGGGGCGGCCCCAAGGACGACAGATCTGGCACCGGCGACCCTAAATTACAGTCGACGTGCATCCGAGCGGAAGATCCAGCACCGGCGGCCATCTAGGACGACAGACAAGCTTGCACAGGCACAGTCATTAGACAGAGAAGTTTGGAAATTGAGCAACGAGGAAGACAGGTATGGTAGCGATTGCAGCAAGAAATGAGAAGAAGAAGAAGAAGAAGAAGAAGAAGAAGAAGAAGAAGAAGAAGAAGAAGAAGAAGAAGAAGAAGAAGAAGAAGAAGAAGAAGAAGAAGGAGAAGAAGAAGAACATAGCAACGGCTGGAGAGCGGTGGTGGCTGGAGATCGAGCGGCGGCGTTTGGAGTGTCGTGGCGGCGGACAGATAAGCCTGGTTGGTGAGGAGCTTCATGTCTCGATGGATGCTCTGGCGGAGGGGGGAAGTTTGCAGACGGGGGAGAAGATAGATGCGTCGATCCTTGGTAAATTAAAAATCATATATCTGGAAAAATGAGAAAAGGTCATATTTTAGACATCCAACAGCCCACCGGTTATACTGAGGCCATTCTTTCTTTATAAAATCACATTTATAATCAATAACCCATTATATTATATATTCATCAAAACTATTTCTCAAAATATACTCAAGTTAGCATATTTAATTATTGTCTAAATATTGTGCCATTTTGACACGAGAACCATTAAATGGGACGGAGGTAGTAACATTTTCAATCATTCAAGCTTGATAACTTATTAAATCTACAATCCATTCAAATACACAAATCACTTATAATCAATGCAGTAGCTAGTAGAAATATTTTTTTCTTATAAATTGTTAAACCAAATTTTACTCTATCATTGTTGCTCATATATCACACGGATGGCCGAGGACATGCTCCATGGAATCATTGACTGCTATGAAATAAGGTTTTGATATGATGCAAGCTCGAATGTATTGAGGTAGTACTATTATTTACTTCGTATTATTTATCAATATTAACATCAATTTAATCTATCTGTTTCATTCTGATATTGTGAAGTTATTTCAGTTCTTTATGAATATATCATGAACTTCTACACATTTCAAATGCCTTAAAATGCATTTGCGACATTCAAAAGCTGTATCCAGGTCTTATTTATGTAAGATTAGGAAAGCTTCCGGAAAATACAACAATTTAAATTTAGATGCAACTAAAAATTCTTCGTAAATTCTACTGTACTAGATTTTCACCCGTGCGATGCACGGAATATAAATTAAGTAATAATTATATAATATGATATGTTAACATTTTTAATTAATGTATTATTAAAAGTTATAAAACCCCGCATATATTAGTAGAATGTTTCAAAAGAGTACAAATGTAATACTCTCTAAGTCACATTGGAGGTAGGGGTGGCCCGGTTCCGTTCTGACCGGCCCGGGGACCGCCCCGGACCGCCACTGTGCGGGACCGGCCCGATGAACCGGGACCTGTTCCGGGCCTAGGACCGGCCCAAGTTTTTTTGGGCGGTTCTGGGGCTGGGTAAATAGGGACCGGCCCGGTCGGTCTGGGTTCGGTCCGGGCTTTTTTTGTTTGTTTTTTGGGGGTTGGGCTGGGTTTAGGTGAGCTGGATTGGGTGTTTTGGCAGGATTTGGGTGGCGGGGGTTGGAATAAATAAGAAAAACAAAAAAAAAATTAATAGAACCGGCCCGGCCTGGCATGGGCCCGGGCCAGTGCCGGGCTTCACCCCAGAAATACCAAGCCCGCCCGGGCTTGACCCGGATCCGGAACTGGACCAGACCTGATCCATCCGTATTTGGAGGTCATTATAGTTCTGGCCGTTGATTTAAAAATTGATGATGATAAGCCATTGTTGACCATTTTGTCTATAAGTATCATTAACCTAATGCTAATGATAAACATTACCCCCCCTGTCTCACTATCTTTGTTTCATTATACCGTTTCGTACGTCTCACGAAGTTTGTTTCATACCATATCTGATAATATTCGAATGATTGTAATTCATTCTTTTTATTCACACTTTACCAAATCAATATCAACCATACATTTTCACTTTTCTTAAAAACCGAACTACTCTCTTGTCCCAATCTTCGGTGGACAGATGTAGTATTAACTTAATTTTTTTTTGTAAATATGATATCCTAATTTTGAATAAAATTGTGTAATTATACCTAACTCTAGTCATTCATTGTGTATAGAAAATATTATATCTTAGATAGCTTAATAAAATTAGATAGCTTCATTTGACAAATGGAAATATACGAAACATATATTTGGAAAATTTGTTTGTAAATAACGACCTTTTTACAAAAAAAATCACTCGTACTTTGCAAAAAAATAAAAAGCAATAATTTCAAATTAATAAATTGAAAAATAATAATACTAATAATAATAATTACACCCATGACAATATTTTAAAGGGAAAGTTCCCGAAATAGGACTAAAACAGTTTGAAAATTTCAAAAGACTGCCATGTTTTTTATTCCCAAAATAGGAGTAATTACTGCCAAGTTTGAAAAATACTGCCATGTTTGAAGTCTGGTACTACCAAAATATGACAGTACCAAGTCCTACTTTGAGAATAAAAAACATACCAGTCCTATTTTGGAATTTTCAATTTTTTTAGTCTTATTTCGGGTAATATTCTCTATTTTAAATAATTGTACCCAATTTCTTTCAAGAAAAACCCTATAACAGCCCAACCCAACAACTAAGAATTAAAATCCACTCATCAACACAAATCTAACAGCACCCAATATTAGCCAGGACTAGATTTTCACCCGTGCGATGCACGGTCAGAAAATTGGATAAAAATTAATATTAATAATCATTTAAAAATATACATTTGTAAATTGTGATTTGGAAAATAAAAACGACCCTTATAGGAGTAAGATTAGTGAATAAAAGCTGTATTCTTATTTTCTTTAAAATAATATTCAAAATGGTTACTCTTAATAGAAAAAGAGTTGCTGAAGTTTCTAATTTCAGTAATAAAAATTTTCAATTTTTAGGAGCAAGCGAGTCATGTTTCCGGAAAATAATAATTGTATGTGTTCCTATTTTGAAATTAAGTGAAACTATTGAAAGGAATGGTACGGTTATGTAGTCAATACTACGTAATTAATAAAGATAATTCAAGTAAATTATTAGAAGCTTGATGGGTGAGATATAATGAGAAAGTTGATGAAACTTGTCATGTTATGAAAGTTCTATTTTTATCATTTCATGATTAAGCTTTGGTTTAAGATTGCTAATTATTCTCTAAAATACTTCGTATGAATAACATCTTTAACCGGGATGTCTAAAGGAGGCAAGCGGGAATCCTAAATTGAGACGGGAGTAGCACATTAGAAAAAAGTGTTTATAACATATTTGTCCTTTGCACTCTACAAATATTCAAATATTTGTTAATAATATGTGGCTATCTCTCATTCCACATATGCATCGTGCACATTTAATTATTTTTTGTGATCAATTCTTTTAATATTTGTTATGTGTTCCATATTTGTTCCCCACTTTCTTTTTCAATAATTTCATCCTCATTTTTCGATATACTATGCTTAATACAGAGTACATTATATTCCATAGTTTTCATTATTGTCCTCCTTTACTCACTTAATCTAGGACACTTTTCTTACTACATTCACCTTTTTACTTTCTCATTTGAATTTTGAACACAAACCCGACTCCAATCACATTTATATTACCCTACTATTCTAATTTCTCTATGAGAAACCTAATACGTCATTTAATACAAAAAAGATGACTGATGAAGTATTAACTAATTTATTGTATTCAAATTACACAAATTAAAGCAAATACCTATTTCAGATTATGAAATACTATTTTTTTTAGCTTATTTAAAAACAAATACTCCATAATACATGTTTGTATAGATCTGCTTTGACTATTTTCTTTTGCACGATTATTTAAAAAAATACTTTCACATAAATGGGCTTTTTCAAGCATACCTCAACCATAAACCAAAGAAAAGTGCCTCCACCAGAATTCCAAAATCCAAAGTGTAACAAATTGAGATAATTCCCTATTTAGGAGTAAAACATAATAAAAGTACAAAAGTAGGAGTTTAATGTTCCGTGTGATTACATAGGAGTAAAATTAAGTGAGTTGACCAAACTACCCTTAATGAAAAGGCTAATGTCTTAGCTCAAAATCTCAAATACTCGGTATACCTAAGTTAAAATATTAAAACAACAGCTGTACACAATTATGGTCTTATCTTGCACGTAAGACATCAGTCCAACAGATCACCGCAGACACCACCTACTACCTGCACTAGACGTTGCCACCGCCTCCGGCAGCCGCCGCCCCCGGCAGCGCCTCCTCCGGCCACCGCCGACGTTGATGCCGTCGCCACCAACACCGATACCTCCGATGCTGCCGCCTCCACCGTCGGTCACTGTCATTGTTGCCGGCGTCGCTGTCGCCGCCGCCGGATCCTAGTCTGGTGCGGCCACCTTTGTTTCTTTTGGCTCCACCACTGCCAATATCAGATCTGGAAAAAGTGGTTAAAAATGTGATATGGCCATTTGAGTTCCATATCGTCATCTTTATCTTATTGCCATAGTAACATTTTCATATTAAATGATGTATTTGTAAGGGACAATATTGCCATCATGAAGGAATTAGTACCATAAAAATGACACTAATGTATGAAATATGGCATTATTAATGTTGTATTTTTCATCATGATGGCATTAAGTGTCGTAAATTTTTCACATGGAAATATATGACACTATTAATATTGTTTTTGGAAATAAGTGCTATTTTAAGCTTAATTCCATATACTTGCTTTAAAATTGTAACTTCATATTCAAATCAGAAAGTAATGTGAAAAATTACAAAGACATTATATTGACGAAATCAATGTAAAAATTTATGATCTATTAAAAGGTAAAATATAAAGTTATAAAAACAAAAATCCGAAGAAAAAGTTGAAAAGAAAAAAGAGAAAGAGATCAAGAAGAAATAGAATGAAAACAAATCTGGATAAAGAGAAGAACATAAGAAAAAATACGATGAAAACAAATCTGGAAAAAGAGAAGAACATTAAACAAAAACCAAGTAAAAAAATTATGTGAAATCAAGTTTCTGCTAAGGAGAGAGGCAAGACACATAGCAATATCTTCAATTTCAAAATCTCATAAACCATAAACTTGGGATGCATACGGTTGGAGAACAAAATGAAGAGAAAACACTTGTTCAATATTTAGTGTCTATCTGGATTGGATTCAATTAGATCGAACTAGCCAATAAAAGTTTTTATTCCTTCATTAACTGAGAAAAAAGAAAGGAGAAGGAGGAAGTGAAGGAAGAGAAGGAGAAGAAAGAAGAAAGCTAACCTGTGTCGTCACGGCGTCGCCCATCGGTGGCCGGAGATGAAAAAAATTGACAGATCCGGCGATGGAGAAATGAGATTCCTGATGAAGATGGAGAAACGAGACAACATGTCTGAAATCCATGTGCGCCAGAGTTGGGGGGGCAGGGGAGAGGGAGAAGGAAGGGAGAAAGAGGGGAGAAGGTGCGGGAGATCGAGAAGAATCTGACATAAATATAGGGTAACTGTAAAGAGGGGTAGAATTGGAAAAAGGAACGGTCAATTAACAAATAACTCTTATTTGGGGAATAAATAAAGAGGAACTCCTATTTTGGAACTTTCTTATTATTTTAGTCCTATTTAGGACAATTACTTTAACAAATTAGTATCACTCCGTTAGCAAACTGTTCCCTTTGGGGTGCTTGAGACAGATGAGCCAAGCTCCAAAATACAAAAGTGACAAGCTTGAGACAATGCCTAGATACAAAAATAAAATCTGCAAAACTATTCATACTAAAAGAGAGAGAAAAGTCCACAAAATCCAAACACAAAAAAAAACTATCCAAACACAAATCCTTCCCAAATCCAAACACAAAAAAAAAAAAAACTATCCAAACACAAATCCCTCCCCTGAGCCAGTTATCTTCAAACCATGGCAAAACCCGCTCCCTTGTACACATGTTTGACCAACCGCGGTAGCAGGGGAAGGAACCCGATAGGTTTCTATTTCACCCCTACCGATGGTTTCCTGTGGTTCCCGGCGCATATCCGGAAAAAAAAAAACTTCATATTCATGGTCCCATGTTCATCCCCAGAGAATCTGCCGGCATAGTCCCATGTTTGGGTGTCCCAGACAAAGCTGGACACCCACCGTCACATGAAAAGCAAATTCGGATCTATTGAAGCTTTGGATTCATATTTATCCCATCTCTTTAAGTTCTCGAAGAACAGGAGCGCAGGTTCCTCCAGATTTTGCACTTTTGGATCTCCATGATACTCCCCTTCACACCCTGGCTGGAATCCTTTATTTCACTTCCCGTAGCTATGTTCTGTCAGCTTGGATTGCAACTTCGACATTTTAAAAAAAACTTCATAGTTTCACGGCAGGCTCTGCTCACCACGGGGAAGATGATGAGTACGACTGATGAAATCATGGAATGCCAAATGGACTATTTAATGTGACCATGTAATGGACTGACTATGTATTATGTAATGGAAGGCTCTGCACACCCGCTTCTTCTTAGTTCTGTTACTTCACTATGTAATGGACTGACTATTTGTTACTTTTCAAGCATGGAATCCTAAGAGATGAATAGGCAATTAATGTGACCATGACTCCTTTCACATTAATCAAGACACGTGAATATATTGCTGACTTAGCACGCATACATATTGGTACAGTAGGAATAGACATTTCCCTACATATAATTAACTCACAGTCAACCAAACATTTAATTAAAGTTGTTTCGAGAATGTGAGTCTCCCACATGCCACATATTTACGTTTTGAATTACCATGCTCGAGTAATGGTGTGAACGGATCATTGTCTATTTTCCTTTATTTTTATTCTTTATTTTGATGTGACAATTTTGGGCGGGAAAATCACCTGATTTTCCACCTCTTTTTATATAGAGTAAGATATTTCAGTCCCCTTCAGACATTTCAGTCCATCCGATGAGCAGAGCTCTCATATATTTCTAGTGCGATTTGTTGTTAGATTAGATGCTACCAACTTACCATATCTGACCGTTGGGATCTTGAAGATGGTCGAGAGATATTCAACGATCTCTAACCATGTCTACTACCATTTCTTTGTATGGGTATCTCTTACATCTTTTTTCCCATTTCTTAATTTTTCTGAACGGGTTTCAAATCATATTTGTTTTGTGGGCATGTCCTGATTTATGTCACTTTTAGATTGGTTTGCTTATGTTGGGTCTCTTTTCTCGTAAAAATGGAGGCCAAGTTTGTATTTTCGTTGCTGCATACATAGGCTGGGTTCACATTTTACGCCAAAGTATATTATTACGATGAATTTTTACAGTATTTCAACTACCCGTGAACGGTATAGCCAGGGGCGGATCCAGGAATGAGGGGTGGGGTGGGCTAAGCAATAAAAATTTTCGTTACTGCATACAAAAGATTTAGCTTAGGACTGATAGTTATTGAACTGGGTTTTTTTCGAACTACTCGAGTTCGATCGTGATTTCGAATTTAATTTAATGACCAAATCTTAACGAGCTTCAATCTCGAACACGGGCTAAATTTTAGTTTAAATAGTTTGTTTTTACAAACAAAAAAAGCTGCTATTTTTTTGAGTTTGAATAGTTATTCAAGCTGAGTTCGAGCATAGTCATGTTCAGTTCGATCTGGACTCGAGCATATTGATAACTTATAAATTATAGAAATAAACTATATACTACCTCCGCCCACTTTTATTAAGACTAATTTGGCTTTTCAAGTCAAAGAAGTTAAACTCTGAATGACTATATATTTATACAATAAAATTGATAATATTAAAATGAAATGGAAATGTTCTTTGTTAAAAAGTTTATCATAAAAGTATAAATTTAGTAAGTTTCACATTAATACATGAGTTAAAATGATGGATCAAAGTTTACCATCTTTGACTAAAGAGTCAAAGATGACTAAATAAAACGAGACGGAAGTAGTATATCTAAAATTTTAATGTTTTTAGTGTGATTTATAATTTTATTATTGATTATTAAAGATTTTAGTATTTATTGATATGAATTAAAATACTTCTATAAAAGTATAAAACTAATAAGCAAGTAAAAATAGTCGATGTACATAAAACTAATAAGTATTCCCAATTTTAAAATTGAATTGAGATTTTGAATCCATTCTTACATGCCTAAACTGTCACGCCCCGGACCTATCCGGACACGTCAACAACCCGCCGTACAGTACGAATAGTCAACCGCAGTCCAACTCATCCATACTATACAAGGCGTCTTGAATACCATTCACACATAGTACATCCATAAACAAGCATAATGTAAAATATTCATTTAAGCAGCGGAAACATTTAATACAAGTGTTTATGCCACACTCGGCAAACATGGGCATACAAGCCCCCAAATGATTATTCAAAAATAATATCCATGAGCATTATTTAGATTGTTTTCAAAACAGAAACGGAAGAAGCACGAACCACGTCTTCTTCCCTTGATCTCCCCGAAGCAACGGGGGGGGTGGCAGCAACTCTTCAAGTTCTACCTGAAACTGTGAGGTGGCCTCCCCCGTGAAGGGGAGGTCAGTACTTGGAAGCATTTGACAAGTACAATGACAACTATACTAAGTATAATCAATGTTTCAATTTCTTAAGACCCTCAAATAGAGTGATATTATATCATAGGCCGTAACTCCCGGTTACCCTGTTTTATAAATATACTTACTTTATATAAAGTCAAGTAGTCGGCCCGTGGGCCCATATTCATTTAGAATTTACCATTTTCACTTTTTGTGACCATGAGTCACGACAACCCCACAGGGTTCCCTCGAGTCCCGATTGTATAACAAGGGCTCGGCCCAACTACATTTCTATACAATCCTTCAACTCAATTTAATATATCTAAATGTGTATGGCAAGGGCTCGGCCCAACTACGTTTCCATACCAACCATAACTTCATGGCAAGGGCTCGGCCCAACTACGTTTCTATGAAGATCACAATGCATGGCAAGGGCTCGGCCCAACTACGTTTCCATGCTAATCACATTACATGGCAAGGGCTCGGCCCAACTACATTTCCATGTAATCCTAGAGTCCGACTCTAATTTATTTCCATAGCTCAATTCTCAAGCAAATCCTATGCCTAGAATCAATTCACTTGGATAGCCTTTAGGCCTACCCCTAACACACCTTAGTGTTCATACAATTCGACCTTAAAGCATTTCTTAAGACTACTTAAGGCATATCTATTCACATTCCTATCTCTTAGGATTAATTTCATCATTATTTATATAAATCTCCCGACTAGTATTTCGATACTAGTCGAATAACCTTAGAACAACCAAGTTCTAAGTTCATAGCCAAATAGTTTATCTCAATTGATTTTCCAATCCAAATATGATTTAATCCCAATATCAAAAATATTACTTTTATCCATTCATGAATTTCATACATGAAGTAAAAGTATATTTTATCACAATTTTCATAGTTAATTCCATTACCATACCATTTCTTTCATATCACATAATCATACACAATTTCTTACAAATTTGTATATTATGCTCTTTTCCTTATAGACAATAGTCTTCTCATTCTTAGGCATTATTAATCATTAATAATCCTTAAAAAAACATATTTAATTACCTTAGGTAATCTCATGAAATTAACCCAAAGATTATAAGCAATATAGTCAGCCATCCTCACCTTATGAAGTGCTGAAATAGTTGCCTTTATTAAGCTCTCCGACCAATCCCCGTTCTGAACCGATCGAAAGCGAAAAGTCTGGGCAGAAGGTGAAAGCCGGGCGGCTTTCACGAAAGCTGGGCGGCTTTCGTCGTCTGCTACTACGAACAGCCTCCTACACTTGGCGGTTTCCGACGGTTTCAACTCCTTGAACTCAACTATTTCCTTGTGGATTTTCCCAGCTTCTTCTCCCTTGAATGAGACCTTGAGGACTTTGGGTTTCCTTGGACTCTCTTCCCTTGTTCTGGCCGAGTGGATGCAATGGTAGGGGGAGAGTCCTTCTCAATCAACACATAATAATGTGTAGGATGGGACATGGGGGGTGTGGGTTTTGTCTCAAACCATCCCCCTTTTCTCTAGTCCGCATCACACCCTCCTCTTGTCTCTTCCAGCTCCCACTTTGTCAATTAGAGTGCACAAAAACGTGGGGTGGCCCCCCACTCATGTGGGAGATCATCCCATTATGCCCCGGTGTGTACAACCAGCCCCGAAAGTTGTATTTCTCAGACTGTATTAGTTATATTTTATTTTATCGGGCCAAATAAAATATATCTCGCGATCCTCATAGTCATGGGCCTTTAGAGAAGACGTATGTTCCCCAACATTAATTTAGAAGTCCCCGAAATTCATTTCGGGCTGTTATCCGATAAATTACCAATACCGGTAATTGGGCCTCGTTTGACCAACAGGTCGACTCCATACCCTTTCCATGGCCCATCTAAATATTTGGGAGTCCATTTTCATCATTAGGGACCCGATAAGTAATTTAATTAATCACGCATTAATTAAATATACAAATTCCGTTACACGATTTATTCGTTAGGAAATTCAAATACATATCAAATTTCGAATCCAAGTACATCCGGGTGCGGTGTCACATAAACAGTAAGTACATTGTTCTCTATTCTTTAATTGCATAATAAATAAATCATTTTCTAATCTTTAATCTATCTTTAATCATTATAAATTTATAATAAATAAAAACTATTTTACTATCTAATGAAAATATTCAATTAATAATCATATAGAATTACAAAGTTGGTAGGCTTGGGCTGGGCTAGACATTAATTTTGAGGTGGGCTGGAAATTAAACCTATACCTATAATAATAAAAATAAATTGGGTTGGGCTGGGCTGGAGCCCACCCCTGCCCCAACATAGATCCGCCCATGGGTATAGCTATACTAAATGATTTTCGGAAATATCATACGAAGTATCTTGAAATTTAGCCATAATTTGCAGTGTTTGTTTTTCTTATTAAACAATAATACCTTATTATGATATGGCTTCACGATTTAGCGGTTCTATGACACCACCGCCCATAAACTCTGCTTTAGCTATATACAGTATATGTAATACTTCTAGTAAATGATTTTCTAATATAGTTGAGTGATTCAAAATTTTTTTCGATGCATAAATCGATCTATTCATATCTACTCTGTATTATTTTGGTACAATCTCAAATTAACTTTGGTACCTTTGCCATGCACAATTTTTAACCATTTCTCATGGGTGACTATATCTATAGTATATATTTTTGTATGATTTGAGATTATATACTCTATACATATAAACTCTATTTAGATCTTTCATTTTGAAACACAACTCTGTAAAAATATCAGATGTGTGTGCAGCTTTTGATGGACGTTAATGAATCAATTGATTGTGAGGGTGTTTTTTTTAAAAATATGCATAGCATAATTGATATTGCATATTCTAACCTCAAGAAAATGTGATTGACAATACTAATATGTTATAAATAAGTCGACATATATGCATTTTGTACTTACTATATATGCATCGGATTATTACATTATAGTCTACATTATGGAGTTGTCTATAATATAAATCCTAGTTTTTATCAATGTTCATTTTCTATAAACCTGTCAAA